ATTGAATGAACGGAAAGAAAAAAAAAAGAAAAAACAAACAAAACAAAGAAAAAAAGATATTGAAAGCATTTAGTAGATTGCTTGTAAAGAATACAATTCATTGTTAATAGTGTGACTGCTGCTTGTAAATGGGTTAATGTGCACCTGTCCGCCTCACGGCCGCGGCAGCAATGTTGCGGGCAGACCCAACATTCAGCCCATTGTTTCAGTAAGAAGCAGCGACTTTACCGTGGCTTCTATTTACCATGTAAAGCGTCTGTGCCCACAAAAACTTGCTACCAGCGCCGTCAGCCCAACAGGCTCGTATAACCGCTGGTCAGGGAGTCGTGGCTAGCAGCAAGTTTGCAAATCACTTCTAAACCCAATCTCCCAGAGTCTGACTGCAACGTGACTCCAGGAGAGAGAGAGTCAGAAGTGAACATGAGCCGTAGAATTAAAAACAGGCGTTTTATGTGCAAACAAACAGTTCGTCAATACATGTTGTAATATACCGGACCTGAAAATGGGTAAAAGGGGTGGAGGCCGTGGAGGTGAAGGTTTGACTGTCAACTACAGTGATGCTTAGGGACAGAATGTCAGTTAAAAAGAAAAAACAAAAAAAGTGAAGCAAAAACACGTTCTGGACATTACAGGGGGAAGAGAAGACGCTGCGATTATCAGTTCATTCTTCCGATGTCAGCCTGTACGTTTCCAAAAGCAAGCTGTACGCAAACCATATGTACCAAGAACCTTTAATGTCAAAAGCAGGTAGAACCCCCGAAAAAGTGGTCGCTTGTCTAAGTGAGACTGGAAGAGGAGAGAGAAACTAGGGGCGGGACAAAAAACACAAAACAAAACAAAAAGCTAAGTGTGGAAAGTCAAAAATACCACAGAACACACAACAGGTGAATTTTTTTTCTTTTAAAAAGGAGAAGTCAGACATTACAACTAACACTAGAAAAAAATATGATAAAAGCAGTGAGGCTTTAGAGACAAATGGTAAAGACTAACCCCTTCAATGCCAGAGCGCTAGGGAGCCACACCCCCAGCGCCAGAATGTACATTAACGGATATCGCATTGTAAATTTGGTTTGCTGTACAGGTTTTTGGCTGGCACTGAAAGGGTTAACGTGACGCGTATGCCGTAGCGGGGGCGATAATCCGACACTGCTTTCGACCCTAGCCGGATTTCGGAACAGGCTTGCAGGTTCCTTTTTTGGGGAATTGACCGTGGTATTATGAAGGAGGACTCTGCAATGCTGTCGCGGGAGATGGCCCATTATTTCTAGCTGCGCATACTAGACTTGTATTGGGGGAGGGGAGTGAAGCAGATTAAAACTTTCTGGAATCTTTGACCTGTCTCGTGTAAGGTAAACGCGCGTGACATTTTTAAGGAGGGTCAGAATGGCTAGGTGATGTTAAACAGTGCACACGTTTAATATAAGGTGGAGTCTTGTTTTGATGGGGATCAGGGTGTCGTGTCTTCGGGAGGATATGATCTTCACCTCTTCTTCGGTGGGTTCGCTGTCCGAGGGGGCGTCACTGGGCGGCCGGAGTTCAGCCCGCCGTACTAGTACTTCGCTTTCTTTTCCGATGGCTTCAAGATCTGGAAGGAGCACATCAAGGTTTCATCCACACTCATCATGCCTCCGGCATTATCAAATTCCCCGCAGTAGTTCGGAGCAGAAAACAGGGTGACCAGCTGCCGCTTGGCAAAGAATTCATAACCATCTTCTACTACCTGATGAGCTTGACAAATCAGATCCAGGTCGTGTCGATTCAAGAATTTTCTGACTACGTCTGCCCCAAAGGTAAAGGAGACACCACGGTCATTCTCCCCCCAGCCTTGTACATCTTTATCGGGGTCCGACCACAACAAGTCACACAGTAATCCTGTGTCAGGGACATCTGTGGGCCTCATGATTCTGCAGATCTGTTCCATGGACTGCAGATCAGGAGAAAGTCCTCCATGGCAACAGAAGATCTTCTCATCCACGATGGCAGGCAGTTGAAGCAGTCGGTGAAGGTCTTCCACAGCTTTATATTAAACCTCCGTTTGCATTCATCGTAGAAGCCATAGATCCGGTTGATGCTCGCGCACTCGTGGTTTCCTCGAAGCAGGAAGAAGTTCTCGGGATATTTGATTTTATATGCCAGAAGCAGACAGATGGTCTCCAGTGATTGCTTCCCTCTGTCCACATAATCTCCCAGGAAAAGGTAATTGGCTTCTGGCGGGAAGCCCCCATATTCAAACAACCGGAGTAAGTCTGTGTACTGCCCATGGATGTCACCACAAATCTTCAGTGGGGCTTCCAGCTCCAACAGTATGGGCTGACTGAGGAAGATCTCACGAGATTTTATACACAGGCCTCGTACTTCTGCCTCCGTCATCTGGACAATCTTTCCAGGGCGACATCCTCGCACCTCCAGCAGGCGGCTGATCAGGCTGTCCACGTTCAGCTCTCCGTCCGCCATTTTGCGCTTCCCTCAGAACAGCTGAGCAGGACTCTAAAAAATTTTTTTAAACAAATGTATTCACTGGCGATTATTTATGCACCAAATAAGGGACAACACAGATTTTGTATTAGGATATTAGTAGATTTGAGCAATATGGGGTAGGCACAAATATGGTGATGGGAAACATGAACTTAATTTTTGATAAAAATTTTGATACTACAGGTAAATATCCCCTTCCAGGAGAGGCGGTAAAGAGACTTAAAGTTAAAATGAACAAAATTAGACTGGTTGATGGTTGGCGTATATTATATCCTACAAAAAGAGATTATACTTATTACTCTATGGTACATAAATCATATAGTCGGATTGGATACACCAGCGACTATTGGAATATGACCCAGAGATTGAAATGGGTTCGATATTATGGTCAGATCATTCACCAGTGTCCCTAACAGTAAAAATAGAGAACAAAAATAGAGGTATGAGAACTTGGAGACTTTATGATAATCTAATAAAAAATGTAGAATGCCAGGAAGAAGTAAACCTCAATATAAATAACTTTATAAAAGACCATCAAAATGATACTACAACATATCCCATTCAATGGGAAACCTTAAAATGTGTAGTAAGCGGTATTTTAGTAAAACATGGCTCTAGATTAAAGAAAGAGGGAGCAAGTAAATTGAAGGGACTATTTCAGACACTGGAGGAATTGGAGGCAATGAATAAGACGAATGTAACAACAAATCACTCCACCCAATTAAATAATAATAATTATTATTACATAGTATTTATATAGCGCCAACAGTTTGCGCAGCGCTTTACAATATAAGGAAGACATTACAGTTACAATACAATTCAAGACAAGATGGTAAGGAGGGCCCTGCCCCTGAGGGCTTACAATCTAAAAGAGTAGGGGGAAATGATACATGAGGTAGCTGTGGGAGCTGTGGGAATGAATTATGTGAGAATGTGAAGGTTCAGTGGTTAGGTTGAGGTGGGATAGGCTTCCCTGAAGAGATGAGTCTTTAGGGAACGCCTAAATGCAGTCAAGGTGGGAGATAGACGGACAGGTTGGGGTAAGGAGTTCCAGAGGATGGGAGAGACTCTAGAGAAGTCCTGGAGGCGAGTATGGGAGGAGTGGACAAGGGAGCTGGAAAGCAGGAGGTCAATGGATGACGTTTAGGGTGATACTTTGAGACAAGTACTTTTAGTACGTTTAGGGTGATACTTTGTGACGCACTTTTGTAGGTCCGTATGCCATACGTCCTTGGCAGCGAAAGGGTTAAAGCCTGTGTTCAGGGGGTCACCTATTTGGCTTCTTTTACACGTCTTCTGGTGTCACTTTGGGACCTTAAATTGGTCCTTTCGTGTCTAAACGTCAGCGTCTATACACTGTATAGGACATGAGGATGTAGGGGGACATATCAACACTGCAGTAGAGAAGACAGGCTCCAGGGTCCGATCTAAGAGTGAAATGGATCAGAACCACAACTGGGTTCGCACAAGATATCTACTGCTGTTCCTAATTATGTTGTGTTCGGTGCACCGGAAAAATCACAAACAAAGGGTTACGGTCTATGATGATTCTAATTTATTCAGGGCTCTCTCTCTCTTTTATACACAGATAACAGGAGAGTGTTCGTCACACATATGCCCACATCTGTTATCTCTAAATGTCTTGTACTATTGGGTAAACTAGAGGAGCTGTTAGTTAAAGTCTTGTGTCTCTCGCTAATTGGTTAGTCAAAGATATCTTCTGCCTGTAGCGTCCTCCCTCGGCATTCCTTTCATGTGTCCTCGGCGCGCTCCCGAATACAGGATATATCTTGGTTACGCATTGCAACGCTAAAGCTGAGTAAGGAAAGTCACAAAGCTAGGAAGAAAATGAAACAAATTCAAACATAGGAAATTAAATTTTCTTGAAATGATCCATATTCCTTCACAAGAGCAAGCCGCCTCCGAGGATCGGGCGGCTATAACTTTATTTTGGCACCTAGACAAAAAGGAGCACTTAACCCTTGCAGTGAGGGGGTAGCCCTGCTGCAAGGGTTAAGGAAACTTTTCTACAACTTTCTGCTTTAATATTTACTTGTGTCCATATGAGTAGCTTTTAATACTTAAATCTAAAATCTCAAAGAATCCTAGAAGGCAAGTTTGTTTCTCTCTCTTTTTTTTTCTCTCTCTTGAGTGATCTGCACATGCACATTTTCTTAATGGACCTTGTAGGACTGTGTACACATCACAGGAAAGGGTAGAGTTTTTCTAAGGAGGGGGTAATTTTATTTCAGGTATAAAGTTAATATTTACAAGTGTAATAACCATTTTAGAAAAAAGGAAAATGGGACTGCATTAATGCTAAACTTAAATTCAGTAAGCCTGCTTACCTTAGAAGAAATTCAAATGTTTTGTAGTTATTACAAACTACCCATCTGTAAATGTTGTGGCATATGAGAAGTGTGGCTTTATTGTATTAATATTATTGTTGTTGTTCTTAATAATACTGTTATTTATTGCGTATTCTTTTTGAGTACTGCTTTGCTTGATAAAGTTATGTTTTTTAGGGCTTTGGCTGGGAATAGAGTGGGACAACCCTTTGAGAGGAAAACATGATGGCTCCCATGAAGGAAGAAGATATTTTACATGCAGGTAATATTTGATTTGTGATTTATGCAAAAAAAAAATGAAACGTGATATAAGTGTACCAATCTGATAATTTTCCATCATGACACAAATTTATCAGAATAATGGTAACATTAGGAGTGAGCAATATACATTAGAGCCAGGCAGTGCTTAGCATATGCAGTTCCCATAGGAATATGACACGTAGCCTAAGATTGTACAAATATTTTAAGGAAACTTTCCAATTCATCCATGAAGCCTTTTAACACAGGGGTAGTGAATTAAAATTCAAGGAGGTCCAGTGAACAAAATTTTCTTTGAGCCGAGGTCCGAATTGCGTTCCGGAAAGAATGCTCACTCAGTCCGTGTCTGCACCACGGTCCGCCATTTAGGATGCAATGCACAGCTGCTGGTGTGTTCTCCCAGACACAGTACTGATGCATTGATTATTGATCAAATTATTAAAACATTTTTGTTAGCACTTTATTGAAATGTCACAAGTGACATTTCATTAAGTTCTATAGGCAAAGCGCAGTGTGATGCGGTTGTACTACATCGTGGCGGACTTCACTGAAAATAAGTACAGCATCCATCAGAACGCTCCCTTACATCAGTTGTCCCTTTAAGAGAGCCCCCCCTAGATTAGGTGTACCCTTCAGAATGCCTCCTTACATTAGGTGTCCCTTATCAAAGTGCTCCCTTACATTAGTTGCCCCTAATCAAATTGCCCATTTTTACATTAGATGCCCCCATAAAAAAATGTTGGACACCCAACGTAAGGGGGCACCCAGATAGGGACAAGCAATGTAAGGGGGCATGCTGATAGGGATACCCAATATTATAATAGTTATCCCCATCAGAGTGCCCCTTTACATTGCTTGTCCATATCAGAGTGCCCCGTTACATTGGCTGGGGACCATCAGAATGCCCTCTTATTTCTCTTCCGTTCATTGAAGGACACAGGAAACAGATCGTAGATCATGTACCGTTGGAAAAGGACGCTAGGCACAAAACAAAAGACATCGACAGACTAGGGGTGGCCCCTGCTGGTGGCCCAACCCCCCACCTGCTGACAAGTCTCCAGTTTTTTGCCTAGCGTCAGGAGTAAGGAGCTAAGATTTTTTTTGTCTGGAATTGTTCTGTTTTCCTCCCCTTTTTTTCCGCAAGTATCCACAGAATGACATGCTGGATTGTTGTAGATCCTTGTAGTCGTCCCTGCGTGATCGACAAGCGCATGCAGACTCTGCCACGGTGGGTCGGCTGTGACATCTCTGTTCTGACAGAGTAGCCTGTGGGTTAGTCCCGATGTTGTGCATATGACTGGGGGTCTCGGCTTCCCAGTTACAGCACTCCATTCAGGCTGGCGGCACCTTGACTGAGGTCGGCAGAGTTTCCGCCTACCTACATGCCTTGACTGCTGTGCTCTGCATTCCTGTGGAGTTCCCTGGGGTAATCACCCCCCTCGAGGTTGGAAGTGGTCGCTGTCTCTGGAGTCCTTCCCCTAGGTGGTAAGTATGTAGGGCTTGGGGCGGTGTATGGAGACTTTGAACTGCTGGTTCTCTCCCCTGGATGGGTCCCTGGTGGGGGTCCCAGCTCTCTGGGTGCTTTGAGGAGCAGTTTGGCAGCATTCCAGGGTCCTGTGGTGGCCAGGAGGTCCGGGTGTGGGGCAGGCATCCCATGTGCTGTTTCGGCCGGCCTGTGTGGCAGACGGCCGGTACTTTAGGCCCCGGTCTCCTTGTGGCCTAGTGGAAGGGCTTGTGTATTGTATTGGTTGCATCCTGAACTTCAGGTAGTCCTACCTGGTGCCGTCCCCGCCTCTGGAGTATTTGGGTCTGATTCTGGACACTGTCCTGGCCCGGGTTACCCTTCCTCCAGGGCAGCTTCTGAAGCTCCGCCCTCATGTGCAGTTGTTATGGCCTTGTCGTTGGTCGACTTACTGCTTCTGCATGCAGGTGCTGGGCCTCTTGGTAGCCTCAGTCAAAGCGGTTCTTTAAGCATGGCACACAGCCCATGTACCCATCGCACTCAGAGCCGCTGCTCCGAAAATAGAGTGTTCTACATGCAACTAGTACGTTATTAAACACGTACTGAACTTGCTTTGGAGTGCCGGTGTCCATTCTTTACACGCAGTGTCACGCCAGGATTCTACAGAGGGACTTCTCAAGACAAAATCACTGTGCGAAAATAAAAAAAAACTTACAACTTATACATAAACAATAAAGTGCCTAGTGATAGTCCCAACACAGTATGTGACCTCCCCTATAGTTGAATGCAATACAATCTCAAAACTGCATGTGCAATGTGCTGTGATCTAGATCGCATGTGCAACTCCACAAGTTGGTCTCTATAAAAAAGGGAGAAAAAAAGTCTCTTTATGAGGTTATGTCAGCAATATATAAAGTGCAATTGTTCGACATTCCAAGAAGGTTTTTCTTAGTGTGATATCCTTAGTGTTTCTGTGCAATCAATACACTCACCAGACTCCTTTGACCACTATTAGATGGTGAAACTGCACTCAGATTACAATCCTTAGCGAGCCATTCTCCCAAGACAGATTGGTTTTTAAAAACTGTTGGTCGGTTCAAGTTGTTCCAATTCCTGTCAATCCACCGTCTGAATGGCCAATATTAACCTCCTCCGCACATTTCTCATTCAAGGCTTAATAGGCAGAGCTGTATAATTCCTCCAAAGGACCTTTTGAAAAAGTCTTCACGACGAAACATGTCAAGGAGGAGTTAACACGCTATTGTAAGGAAGACACTCAGATGGCAGCCATTAATGTAAGGGGGTACTCTGATAGGGGAGCTAATGTAAGAGGGCACTTCGATGAGGACAACTAATAAGTAATTGTCCCCATCAGAGTGCCACCTTACACTGGTTGTCCCTAGGGTGCCCCTTTAAATTGCTGCTGTCACAATAATCCTGGAGCCCAAGGAGGCAGGGATGGGAGGAGACAGGGCAGACTTTGGGCTGCATGGGAGGACAGAAAACAATACTCTTCCATACTCCCTTAATGTTGGGCGGGGAACAACACTGACTTCATTGGTTGCTAGGAACGCAGTGGTCCTATTCGCCAATGACTGAGGAGGAATGGGGACCAATGTAAGTACACATGGCATGCTAAGAGCGCAGTATGGAGGAGAGGGGAGAAAAAAATTGGAGAAAAAGGAAACATAGACAAAGAGTGTACACAGAAAAGAGAAGATAGGAGGAGAGATGATCGTGTAGTAGAAGTGCACCGAAATGGAAATTTCAAAACCGAAATAAAAAAATTGTCAGGCCGAAACCGAAAATGTTTTTTGTTTTAATTTTTTTTAAATATTTAATTTATTTTTTATAAACGTTTTAATTTTTTTATATTTCTTAATTTTTTATTAAATATTTTAATTTTTTACTTTTAGGTGCTTTGGGGAAATATTAGGGGTCTAAACAGACCCCTGATATTTCCCTTTTAAAATAGAAAAAGAGATGGAGGACACAGAGTCCTCCATCTCTTTTTATGCAGCCCCTGTTATAAATGAACAGGAATCCTCTATACTGAGTGTTCCTGTTCATTCATAACATGAGGACATAGTATGTTTACTATAACCACAATCATGAATGAACAGGAGGTGATGTAGATCCCGAGGTGGCTCTATACTTTGCGAGGCCTTAGGCGAAACTTAAAAATTAGGCCCCACTCATGCCCATAATGGAAAATTGATGGCTCTACGGGGTCTCAGGAGGCTGTGCGGGGTCTCAGCTGGTCTGTGTGTAGTCTCAGGAGGCTGTGCGGGGTCTCAGGAGGCTGTGCAGGGTCTCGACTGTGCAGTGTTTCAGGTGGTCTGTGTGTAGTCTCAGGAGGCCCAGCAGGGTCTCAGGACAGCTGTGCAGGGTCTCGTGGGCACTGTTTCAGGAAGGAGAAGATGTGCTCCTGGTGCTGTAAATTGGCACTGCAGTTCACAGGAAGGCTGTTGAAATCCCGCGCTCACACTCCGGGGGCAGAGCCAAACACGGTAGCACAATTGTGGGGCAGGGCCAGCCACTAGTAAATACATGTTTACCCACTCCTGTTTTGAGCTTGACAAAGAGGTTTGCCTTGAAACGCTTTGCTCCATCAACCTTCCATTTCCTTTCACCTTGTACTTTATACCTCCAAACACAATACTGTCGAACCGACAGTAATTCTGTCAGTTCTCACAGGATATTCATCGACCAGGTGACCGTAGGGCTCACTGTGTGATTCCTCTGTCAGTAACAGCCATCCACCTCGGATACAGTGCCGACAGCACTACATACCATCCGACATAGCTCTGACAGCCACGGCCACGATCCAGCCGGCCAAAGACATAGCAGTGACATTCACAGTTTAACGCACCGGCCGCTCGTCTCTTGCTCTCATCTCCAGCCCAGAAGTGTACCCTTGTGTGCACAATCCCCCTTGCACCCGGCTCCACATCGTCCGCAGACACGAAGGCCGTTACAGACGGCATTTCAGTCAAAGCAAACACAAGATACCACCAATCCTCCACCAAGGCAGCATGACACCCAGGCCTCACCAGCTTCATGTAAGTAGTCCTTTTCAATATACAATCCAATTGGCCATGTGTATGCACTGTTGTTGTTTTCATTGCTTGTAAATGCAGGAGGTCAGAGTGGGCTCTCGGGTGGCCAGTGTGGGCTCTCGGGTGGCCAGTGTGGGCTCTCGGGTGGCCAGTGTGGGCTCCCGGGTGATCGCTGAGTGTTTGCACTCGCTCGCCATCCTGACAGCTGTCACAGGAGGCTGAGCAGGGAGGAGAGCTCAGCCTCCTGTGACAGCGCTGGCTGTCTCCGCCCACATACCACTCTGTCGGACTGTGACAGGAGGCTTAGCGATGTGGGAGGAGAGACGCCGACCGCTCACAGCGCTCGGCCGCCTGTGACACTTTCTCTCAGTGCAGTGCCCAGCAGGGAGGAAAGAAAGCAGGGGTACGCCGCTGCATCGGCAGAAAAATGTCTATGACTCTCAGGTGGTCAGAGTGTAATATGATAAATTGGCATAAAAACCG